CAACATGTTGAAACCCTGCCTCTACTAAAAATACACAAAAAAATTAGCTGGGCATGGTGGCACATGCCTGTAATCCCAGTTACTCGGGAGGCCGAGGCAGGAGAATTGCTTGAATCTGGGAGGCAGAAGTTGCAGTGAGCCGACATCGTGCTATTGCACTCCAGCCAGAGTGACAGAGTGAGACTCAGTCTTAAAAAAAAAAAATAAAAAAGAAAGAGGAAGCAATAGTGAACTCCAATTGGAACCCCAACGGGAAATTCTTGAATGGATCCTAAGTTGTACCTCGTACCTCTCTCTGTCAGTCACAGTGGAGACTCTCCCTGCAGAAAGCAAGCTGGGATTCTGGGGCTGGGGCAACACTTACTGTCTGGTAGGTAATGACCAGCTGGATCACGGGCAGTGCGTAAAACACAGCAATGGTAATGATGTTCCTATGCAGGCAGAAAGAACCAGAAATAGTTATTTTCAAATGAACAGTGGAGTCTTTGGTTAATATTTTTAAAAGAATGCTTCCACCCCATAAGTCCATAATTAACTTGCAAAAATAGCCAGAAGCTGATTATGTGGTTCCTGTTTCTCCAGTCGTTCTCTCCCTTCTCTTGCATTGGGGCATTGGGTACACAGTATCCTGTCTAAAGGGAAATTAAAGAAATAAAGAAAAGCTTCCCTTGGATACTTTTAGTTAGGTTGCAGAGGCAAAAGCTGACAATACTAACTGAAACGTATTTTTTAAAAAGGTTAATGATTGGTACCCAACAGATATTAGGGTTTCTTTTTTCTTTCTTTTCTTACAACCATTTGTAAAACAGTGTGAGTAATAACTGCTTCTGGTTTAACCACATCATTTATGAGGGAACGTCTCTTTAGGCTGTTGTTAGATTGAACATCTAACAACTGTAATGAGTAATGAGTGATGGATTGCATGAAAGGGGTGTGGTTTCCAAACTGCTGGTCCCACTATGAAACTTCATGTGGCCCCATTGTCCCTTATTTCCTTCTAAGATCTGTATGCAAGCTAAAGGGCATCCTTCAAGAGAAAATAAGACGAGGAGCTGTCACAAATGTACAATATTCAGCTTGAGGGTTTCTGAGGGGAGAGAAGATTTCTTGCAAGGCAGCTCAGCCTCTTGGCTGGGAGGGAGGCTGTGTTCGTGTGTGTGGCCATCGCAGGTCTACTGATAGTTGGCTGGTAACACCATCCCCTATGCCTGTGCCTCATTAAACACTAAAACCTTGTGCCTAAGTGGTTGTGCCTCTTATAAAGAAAACTTTATGTTTATTTAAGGGAATCATGGTCCTGCTGGTCATCTACTTACCAAAAATAAATTTTATATTTTTTGCTGACAATTCTCCGGTCCTTCCTGGACAAATCTGACAGGTAAAGGAACATCTGGAATGCCAAATAAAAAGAGAATGCAAAACTGTACTCAGCTGTTTATGCATGAGATACAAAGGAAAACTTAACACGTCTCAATTTAAATTAAAATTGTTAAAATTATTCAAGGGGGCTGGGCGCGGTGGCTCACTCCTGTAATCCCAACATTTTGGGAGGCCGAGGTGGGCAGATCACGAGGTCAGGAAATCAAGACCATCCTGGCTAACACGGTGAAACCCCGTCTCTACCAAAACTATAAAAAATTAGCAGGCCGTGGTGGTGGGCGCCTGTAGTCCCAGCAACTCAGGAGGCTTGAGGCAGGAGAATGGCCTGAACCTGGGAGGCGGAGCTTGCAGTGAGCCGAGATCGCGCCACTGCACTCCAGCCTGGGTGACAGAGCCAGGCTCTGTCTCAACTAAAAAATACAAAAAACTAGCCGGGCGAGGTGGCGGGCGCCTGTAGTCCCAGCTACTCGGGAGGCTGAGGCAGGAGAATGGCGAAACCCGGGAGGCGGAGCTTGCAGTGAGCTGAGACCCGGCCACTGCACTCCAGCCTGGGCGACAGAGCGAGACTCCGTCTCAAAAAGAAAAAAAAGAAAGAAAGAAAAAAAAAAGAAAAAAAAGAAAAAGAAAGGGGGAAAGCACTCAAGTCTGTCTGAGGACACAAGAAGCCTTTCTAGCAAAACTGGTAATTATTGAATTGTGTTGTTTTGTTTTATGTGTAAGAGATGGAGGTCTCATTCTGTTGCCTAGGCTGGCGTGCAGTAATGTGATCAGGGCTCACTGCACGCTCAAACTCCTGGGATCAAGCGACCACCCCCCC